ACGACGGTTCTTGGGCGTGTGGGTGGAGGAGAGCTGCAGGCTCTGAGCCGCTTGGAAAAGTAGGTTGCGTGGGACTGGTCGGCAAAACGGAGGGGAGGAAGAGAAAAAAGCCTCCCGGTCCCGGGGCGGGTCGGAGTCGCGCACCCTTCTTAAGGCCTGTGGTGTGGGGGACGCGGGGCCGTCACGCATTGCGTCACGGTTTTCCTGCAGAGGAAGGTTCCCATGCCTGGGTGTAGACACTACAGGGATCCTTTGCTTGGCTCTCACTCAGGGCCCTTCCTCTGCAGATCTTTGGAGGATGTAGTATGTGGACCAAAAGAACACAAGCTCTAGAGACCTAGATGTTTGTAAATTAAAATTACCCACTCTGACCAGTTACTTGGTCTCATCGGTAAAGTGAGGTTGTGGATCACTGTTATTTTGATGCAGCCCCCTTTTCAGAACTACTGTGTTGTGATTTCCCCGTAATCTTGCCTTTGAATCGTTCTCCTGGATATAAAAAGAAAACATTTGAATAACGAACTCACTTAACACCCGTGTTGGGTTTCTTGATTTGGAGTAATGGACCTTTTTTTTTTTTTTTTTTTGAGTCCCAGTCTCTATGTAGCCCAGCCTGGTCCCGGCTTCAATGCGTACACCACCCGCAGCGGGTTGGTGCTTACTTTTTAAGAATTAATTAACCATGAGTAAAATCTGTTTGCAAATAGGATTTGTGCAATATTTATTAATATTCCAAATAGTCTGCTTTAGCGGGACTATCAGTATGCCTTAATGTTAGTTTTTTAATACTGACATTCTTCATTTCATCTTAGATGTAAATCCCCAAAGTAGATTGAAATTTTTGGATTTTTATGTCACTTTATCCTTTTTAAATTAAATTTATTTATTTTAGCATTCTTGACTTCGTCTGCACCACCTGCCTGGGAGAAGATGGTCAACGTTTTGAAAGGAGTGCTTATAGAATGGTTCGTAGTTTTAAGACTTAGTGGATCTTGCTATGTATATATGCCTTTTTCAAAATTTTGTTTTGCAAGGCTTCAACTTTGAATTTCCATAGGTTTTCTTTGTAAGTGGGACAGACTTTGTTGCTAAGTTTTCTTGCTGATGTTACATTTCATTGTCTGTTAAATTAATGTAATTAGCGTTATTTCCAACCATTTTTTGATCAGAGATTATGTGTGCTAAATTACCCTTATTAGGAAAACTGTTAGGCTGGGCAGTGGTGACGAACACCTTTGATCCCAGCACTCTGTAGGCAAAGGCAAGCAGATTTTTGAGTTCAAAGCCAGCCTTGTCTACAGAGCAAGTTGCCGGACAGGCTCCAGAGAGAGTGTGTTTTTATTCTCAAGCCATCAGCACTTGCCTAGATTAAGGTTTAGAAGAATTCAGGAAGGTGAGGCAGGCCATTAATCCCAGCACTCAGGATATAGAATCAGGCCGATCTCTTAGGAGTTCGAGGCCAGCCTAGTTTACATAGTGAGTTTCAGGCCAATCAAAGCTGTATAGTGAAAACTTGTCTTTAAAAAAAAAAGTAACAAATAAAATAATACAGGAACTTGGTTAAGTCTTTGCCACTACAGAATGTGCTCCCTGAAAAGAAATGAGAGCCAATCAGAGCAGGTTTTTAAACTCCTTAGCATAGCTTCCAGAATAGAAGAAAGAACCCACAATAGTTTCTTGAGCTGAGTTTCTCGAAGTTTCCTGAAATAGAGGCCTTTGTTGTCCCCCCTTTCTCAGCCTTGAACTCTTTGTTCAGCTCTTCCTTGTTGGAAGCCCTGTTCTCTAGATACTCACTCCCTTCATCGGAGATGCTCCTGTCTTCTTTTCTGTTTCCATATTGTGAATTATTGTATAGATGGTGGTGATGCTTTTCCTGTGATGGCAAAGCTGAGGAAGTAGCAAGGTCAAATCTTAGGAAACCTGCAACGTTTGTAGCAGCACTCTACATTGGAAATACAGTTTAAGCCACATACATAGTCTTAAATTTTCTAGTAACTACATTAAAGTGTGAAATGAAACAGGTGAAGTATTTAACCCAGATGCCCCAAGTTAGTGTTATTTTTATGTATATGTGTGATTGTCTGCATCTGTGCCTGGTGCCTGAGGCAATCAGTCAAGGGCATTGGATCTGGAGTCAGGAACAGGCTGTGAGCCACCATATGGGTGCTGGGAACTGAACCTGGGTCCTCTGCAAGAGCAACAAACACTGAATCATCTATCCAGTCCCATGTACTAAGTCTTCAAAAACACCTTCAAAGTCAGATATCTATTTTACAACATATCAAATACTCGGTAGTAACACATGATTCGTGGGCTGCCATAGGGATATAATGCAGATGTAGACTTTGAGAAGATGAGATTCTAACAAAGTCAGTTAAAAAAAAAAAAAAAACAACTGTTGAGGTAGGAGGGAATCTAGCAGGAAATAGTTCAGGAAGATAAAGGGCTGAACCAAAAGACGTGGAATGAGGCTCTCCAAGGCTACTGCCCCTGGAGTCTGGGTTTCTGCAGTACTAAGTCCCAGCTGGGATGTGGGAAAGGCAGGAAGGCTTACAATGAAGCTGTTACAGGACACAGCTGAAGTGGAGGGATAACGTGCCATCGGCAAACGTTTTTAGGACATTGGCAACATCGATCAGCCCTGAGGTGAGTGCCACAACACTCCTTGGGTCCGGTGATTTAAGCTCTTCACTGAATTGTGTAAATCCCTTTCATTCAGAAAAACGTAGACACACTAGGAGTGATAACCATTTAGCAGTTGCTGTTTTAGCACCTCTTAGCAGGGAATTACTGAGAGTAGTTGGCGTCGGCTGTGAATGCATTGAGCTTAAGCAATAGCAAAATAATCCACATCACTGAGGTAGATCACAGTTTCATTATTTTTACTATTATGTCCTCTGGTTTATCCTTATTACTGTATTACATTTAGAACTGACTGAATTTACAAAACAGCTATCATCCCACTGTGTGAAGTGCAAGAAAACTGTGTGTGATTTTCATAGGCTGTTTTGAGATTGTTGTAGAACTTGAGACAGCCAAGGACAGAAGGGCTTGGAGAGTGAAGTGGGGCTAAGGTCACTACTGAAGTACCCGAGGCGCCTTGTTTGCTGGGAAAGGAGGTAGCAGCTTGGTTTTAGAGCACTACACTTCACTGGTGACCTTTGCCAGTCCCTCTCTCCCTCCTACCATCTGCCAGTTATCCCTCATCCACATAAATGTGTGGGAGGAGAGGGGTTGAGTCTGAGATGCAAGGGCTCTGATTTTCCTGCCCTGTGGGCCCTTTGTCTATTTGTCAGCCTTTGGAAGAAGCCTGTTACACTGGCTCTGTCCACCCCCATGGGCTTCTAGAGTAGCCTCTTCTTCCCTTTTTGTTTCTCCCTGTGCTCTGTCAGTAAGTATGGACATTGCTTTTTAAATCCATTAAGGAAGCTATAGGTCTAAGTCCTATTAAACTGCAAAGGGATAGCCATATTCTCTCTTCTTGTGACAAGTTGTTTTTTAAAAACCTTTCTCTTGAAGTTGTCCTAACTCGACTTCTAACATGAAGTCATGGCTACAAATCACTAATACTTTAAGAGAGAAAATAAGACATTGGATAATAGTTCTGAACTTAAAAATTCATCACGATCAGATGTAACTGTTTGGTCTTTGTGGTGCGGTTGACCACAGGATGCCCTATACTCTGTGTTTGTCTCCACAGCGATCCTGCCATGAAGCAGTTCTTGCTGTACTTGGATGAGTCCAATGCCTTGGGGAAGAAGTTCATCATTCAAGATATTGATGACACACATGTGTTTGTCATTGCGGAGCTGGTCAATGTCCTCCAGGAGCGAGTAGGGGAACTGATGGACCAGAATGCCTTTTCTCTTACCCAGAAGTGAAAATACTAGCTGCTGAGCACGTGGGAATTACAAACCACAGACATGAGAGAGGCCCCATTCAGAGTCTCCTACAGTGTGTAGACATTTCATGAGCATTTTGTGGGGAAGGCTGCAGGGCCATTGATTCAGACAAAAGCCCCAACTGATTTTTTTGAAGAAGAACTAACAATTGGCTGCAATTTGGCTTTTATTATTCCTTATTAAAACAATCATAATTGTGCTGGTTCGATGGTTCAGTTGGTAAAGGCCCTTGCCACCAAATCTGACAGCCTGGATTTGATCCCAGGGCAGGGAAGAGCTCCCACAGTTGTCTCCTGACTTCCCTGTGTGTACCTCCCTCCCACACAAATAAGTAAACCTAATTAATAATCATAAATGGTTCCCCTACCTTTTTTTTTTTAACACCAATTAAATACACCAGAAAAATAGTGGAGTTTGGTTAAATTGTCTTTGTAACTGAGGTGTTATTAATTTTGCCTGTTCCCGTGAAGTGTGCACTTTTGTACTGCAGATTTAGAAACGAGTGGGAAAGAAGCTCTGCTTTGAGGCTGTACTTTTCCGTTTTTCACACTGTGTTGGTGACATTTTCCTCGTGTGCCCATGCAGAAAGAGATGTAGCAGAAGTGTGTGTGTGTGTGTGTGTGTGTGTGTGTGTGTGTGTGTGTGTGTACAATAACTGCCGGGAAGATACCTGCAGTTATCTTAATACTTGGAGAGGAAGTTAGAAGACTTGCACGTGGTTGAACTCTTAGGTCATCAGAAACTATATGTAAACAAAATATGTATTATAATGCTCCAAACCAAAAAATGCAGTGAGATCAGCATTAATGGGGTAAATGTATTTTTATCCATGTGCTCTAAATTCAGCTAAATCAAGTATTACACTCTATGCTGTTTGGCAGTCTGCTTCAGTGTACTTTTCCAAAAAAAAAAAAAAAAAGAAAGGAATTCAAAGCATAAAACAAAATACAGGGTTGGGCTTGGTGGTATACCCTGTTAATCTGGCATTCAGCATGTAGAGGCAGATAGATCTCTTAAATTTGAGGCTGTCCTAGTCTACATAGAGAGTTCCAGGCTAGTCAGGGCCACATAGTGAGACCCTGTCTCAAAAATCAAAAATAATCCATATGATTTCATAGGTTACATTAAAAATTGATGCCTTTAACCCCAGCACTTGGGAAGCTTTGGCAGGCAAATCTCTGAGTTCAAGGCCAGCCTGGTCTACAGAATTGAGTGCCAGGACAGCCAAGGCTATACAGAAAAAGTCTGTCTCAAAAAGCAAAACAAAAATTCACTTCCAAAGTGTTGAGAAATGAAGTTTACTTGTCTTCCTATTAGACCTTTCTTTGTTTTTAAGTAGTAATAGAGAGCGGGCCAGTGGTCGGGGAACACCTTTAATCCCAGTCCTCAGGAGGTAGAGGCAGGTAGGTAGATCTCTGTGAGTTCAAGGCCATCCTGCTTTACAAGAGCTAGTTCCAGGACAGCTAGGTCTACACAAACCCTGTCTCAAAAACACCCTAAAAAAAAAAAACAAAACAAAAAGACACCTACAGTATGTCTGATGGCTTTTCCAGAGAATATCAGATCACGAGACTCTGATGTAATCTAGGGTTATTAGTATCTCAATGGTTGATGTGATGGCATTACTGGGAGTGGTGGGACTGAGTTGGATGAAGGTCACTGGAAGTGTGTCCTTGGATTGTCTGCCCTGGCCTCTTCTGGATTCCCTGTTCCTGCTTCCTGTCCAAAGGGAAGCCAAGAACCATGTGCTCCTGCAGGAGGTTCTGCACAAGTGCAGGGGGCCCCAGAGACCACAGGCTGAACCCTGTTCTCTCAATTACAGGGTCATAACAACTCGAAAGTAACACAGTGAAGGGACCAGCTCCCCTTTCAGCAGCCATAACAGCCAAACACATGCTTGCCATAACCTTGCCTTTGTCACTTAGAGGTCAGATGCCTGCCTCATGGCAAGGAACCAATCAGAAGTTAGTCACTAGAAAGTCAAGATGTCTGCCTCGTGACAAGGAACCAATCAGAAGTTAGCTGGTGGCGCTATGCTTTACGACCTTGGGTGTGCTTTACGGACAAGCACACAGCAATGACGCACAAAGCATAGCAACCACCCTGGGAGGGCCTATGGCCCATAACAACCAGTTGACCAACCAACACAGGGCAAGCCATCCAAGCCTGGAGGCACACCAATCATGAGCCTGTGCGTACCCCTAGACACTCCCCTTACGCTGTCCTATAAGATCTCTTGGGAGGCTCTAGGAGCTGTCTTTGCTAGCCATCCGCCATGGGCGGGTGGGTGAAAGACCCGAGCTAAAATGGGGTTAGCTCGTTAAATTACAATAAAGCCTCGTGCAGTTTGCATCAAGCTCTCGAATCCGTCTGGTGATTGGGGTGACCTCGAACGTGGCCTGGGACCCCGGATACCTGAGTTTTCCGGGAATCTAACAACAGTAACACTGAAAGAACTGTTGAAATGACTATCAATTGATCTCTTAGAAAGCAACCATTACTGGGCCTGGGTGCCTAGCTGAGTGGTAGAGAGCTTATCTAGCATGCACAAGGCTGGGGGTCTCGACTCTACCACTGCAGGGGAAAAACCCTGTTGACAAGATAGGGAAGTTATCAACATGCTGAGGGAATACTGAGATCTTGGGCATGTTATTTTTTCTATGCCTCAAGGAACCAAGGGAAAGAAATTTTAGCTCCCCAATACATCCCCCAGCTTCTCAGTGTGCATCACATACAGCACAAGTGAGGAAAGAGCAGTCCTGAAGAAAGATTGGATAGTGTGGAGGCCCACCGCCATCAGGAAAGCTGTGGTGAGAAACACTTCACAAACCATTACTGTAATTACCAGTTTCATCAAGATCGGGACATTTTTTCTTATTCAGTCCACTCCGGGCTTTATTTTTTCTTTTTCTTTTTTCTTTTCTTTCTTTTCTTTTTTTTTTTTTTTTTTTTTTTGAGACACGGTTTCTCTGTGTAGCCCTGGCTGTCCTTGAACTTAAAGAGATCTGCCTCCCCAGTGCTGGGATTAAAGGTGTTCGTCACCACCCCCACCCTGCAGACTTTACTCTCATGAATTCCTGGATTATAGGGGTTCTGCTCACCTTGTGTTCTTGCCCTGAAGATTTTCAGTCCCTCTTCCAGTTATTTCTCTTTATTATTTGAAATTTTATAACTAAACCTGAGAGTGTGGCTCATTTTTCCTGGAATATGTGAAGGGCTTTGTTTTCTTTGTAAAGGCAGGGCCTCCTTGTGTGTCCCAACGGTTAGAGTAATACGTGTGTACCACCAAACCACTCTGAGTTACTTTTCTTTTAAGATTGGGAGTATTTTGCTTTGGATGGTAGAGGGTTCTTTTTTAAGTTTTCTGGTGGGCAAGTTTTATTTGGGAGTGTGAGTTGAAGCCAGAATTTTGTACCCAAGTTTTCAGTTAAAACTTCACACAGCTTTAATTCCAGTTCTTGGGAGGCAGAGGTAGGGGAATTTCTGTGGGCTCAAGGCCAGCCTGGTCTACAGAGTGAATTCTAGGCCAGCTAGGGCTACATAGTGAGACTCTGTCTTTAAAGCAAAAACAGCAGCAACAATGAAAAACCTTTAGTATTTTGTTTTCTTCAGGAAAAGAATTTTTTAATTCTCCATTATTAAGACTTTCATTTATATGAACATTTTAATTTTGTTCAACACATAGTAACTGTACATATTTACAGGGGTACATTGTGATAATTTGACCCATGTATACCACAAGTGAAGGTCAAATCAATGTAATGATGTGTGTACAGTTGTAAGGCATAGTCACCCTACCATTCTGTGGAACAGCAGAACTCACTCCCCTCATCTAGCCTTACCGTGCATTACTCACATTGCCTCTGCTCATCTTATTCCCTGTTACAAATCTGTTTTCAAATGTCCCTGAGATTGCTTTAGTGCAAACCTGTCAGTGCTACTTCCATCCATATCTTGGCTACCGAGCTTTTCTTTTCTTTTCTTTTCTTTTCTTTTCTTTTCTTTTCTTTTCTTTTCTTTTCTTTTCTTTTCTTTTTGTTTTTTTGTTTGTTTGTTTGTTTGTTTTTGGTTTTGGTTTTTGATTTTTCAAGACAAGGTTTCTCTGTAGCCTTGGAGTCTGTCCTGAAACTCACTCAGTAGACCAGACTGACCTTGAACTCACAGAGATCTGCCTGCCTCTGCCTCCCAAGTGCTGGGATTAAAGGCGTGCGCCACCACCAACCAACTGGCTAATGCGCTTATATTTAAAAGAACTGCACTTTCTTAAAAATGCTAACTATGAATGTGTACTGTTTCCTTGCGGTAGACTGAGGAATGGAAGCAAAGGAAGGAAACAATGCACACCCCCAGCATGTGGGGATACCTGCAGTGACTCTCCTAACCTCTAAGAACATAGTACAGTATTGCTCCATCCCAGTGAGATCGTGACACTTGGACATATGGACTTGCTAATCTGCTTTGTATCAAAACATGGAGCAGGAGCGTGTGTGTGTGTGTGTGTGTGTGTGTGTGTGTGTGTGTGTAGAGAGAGAGAGAGAGAGAGAGAGAGAGAGAGAGAGCCACATGCACATCATATGGTGAAGTCAGTTTTGGGGGGTCAGGTTCTCTTCTGCCATCATATGGGAAAAGTTTGGTTTCAAGGATTGAAGTCAAGTCACCAGGGGTTGTTGGCAAGGACCTTTACCCACTGAGCCATCCTTAAGGCCCCAAGAACTGACTCTTGAAGGTTGTGCTCCCACCTGTGTGTGTGTGTGTGTGTGTGTGTGTGTGTGTTGCAAGATTTCTATTTGGGAGGGAAAGTTCTGATTTCTTAAGTATATTAGGGGCTACATTGGGAGCTTTACAAGATACTGATACCTGTCCTCAACCCAGACTTAAGCAAATTTAATTGTTCTAAGGTTCAGAGCACCCACCTTGCTAAAGGGTTTCACTGCTGCTTTTGCTGTGCCAGGATGTGCAATAGATTGGAGCCAGTTCTGTTGAGGGGTTTTTGTTTTTCAGTAGGTTCATCGATCACACATCTGTTCCCTTTTACTGCCAAGGAAATGCTGAGCCTACCCAGCAAGGAACCAGCTTTTGTTAAAATCCACTAATTAGATAACTGCTTCCCCAAGTAGCTGCAGGGTCTTATTTACTGACAGCCATTAGCATGGTTTGGATCCCTTGACTAGAATGACAAAGTAATTGTAGCATTCTTAATTGGTTAGAGGTATGGTTTTTTGTTTTTGTTTTTGTTTTAATAAGTGCAAAAAAGTCTTAGCCATTTATTTTTTTGTTTACTGAGCATAATTACTTTACACTTTTTTTGTTCAAGGTTTGTTTTATGTGTCTGAATGTGCACCACACAAGAGCCTGGAAGTAACTAACAGATGGCTGTGAGCCACCATGTATGTCCTTTGCAAAAGCAACAAG